ACATCGAGACTATCCTTAAAAAAAAAAAGAAATTTCAATCATAAAGAATTAGAAAGTATTACGAAAAGGGCACTTTTGTTATAATTTAGATGCTCTGGTTTACGAGGAAAATCTTTCAATTTTCTTAATTGCTTTTGAGTCTGAGCTATGTGCATCATGTAGATTCTAATGAACTATGCATTAGCTTGGGAAAAGTTCGAATTTTTAGTTTATTGCTACATTTTTATGATATTTTTTAAATCAAAGTTGTAGTCCCTCTCCGCAAACACCAGAAGAACTGATTTGCTGTTTCTATTCTAAGATATACTGCTACATTCAATGTTCTTATTTTACGATAGGAACACATCAAAAGATCTAAAACTTTCAGAATAGACTGCACTAATTAAGGTTCATCTCTATGCAAAGTTTCAATTAAAAAATCAATTTTTCTGGTGTTTCTAAGTGGGCTATAACTTTAATTTAAACAATATGGTAAAAATGTAGCAATAAGCCAAGAGCTCGAACTCTTTTCAGAATGTTTACAGCTCGTTAGAATCTGCATGATCCACATAGCCTCGATTCAAAAGCCATTAACCCGTTAGGAGTCTTTCTTCATTAGTAGGGTTCTGTAAGAATATGACTACTCATATTCTTTTCTAAAAGATCACAGGCGTAACGTATGAGGGTGTGACTTCCCACCTGTACTTCTGAAACTCATCCACACAACATCCTGAAACGTCAGTGCTGAGTTACACTTCTGTAAAGATAGTTTTTTTTTTGGTATCCTTAGCACATTCACAGGTTACTAGTTCAATGCGTAGTTGAAAGTTAAATATGTAGAACTTGAGTAGAGCTGTAAGCCGATGTATTAATTTTTTTCAGTCAAAATTCAATTAATTCATTTTTTAAAATTTTGTATTTTTTAATCACTATGAATATATGATTATGTATTTACTTGTGTTCCTTCAAGTTCTTCTTGATTTTTAAATTCAAGTTCAATTGGATCATAAGGTGGTAAACCCATTGGATAAACAATCATAATAGCACCTTTTAATTGTTGTAATGCTTCATTAATTTGATCACATGTTACACATTGATCAGCTTGAACTAATTTCTAGATAAAAGAAAAATAAACATTTGAATTAAATTTCATTGATGCTTCTTTTTTTTCATACTTTAGAAATTTTATCTTTTGCTTCTTGAATTGTGCGTTCTAATATCGAACGCATTTTTTCTGTTGGAGCTAAAAAAAGAAAATTTAAATTTAAAAAAAAAGTTCTTTTAAAATAAAATCTTTACCTCGTCCATTTCGTTTTCCAGTTACATCTTCTTCTTCAACATAACCATCCATTGGTATACATTTATCAGCATATTCATCTTTTAATTTCAAATCTGTTATTTGTTCCTCAGTTAAACCTTGCATATTAACAGGTAATGTTATACCATACTTAGCTAACATGGACATTTCTATAAGAATAAACAAGATTTAAAAAAAACATGTAAGTAGATAGAAATGGAATTTATATATACCATTGCAAATTCGATGAACTTTAAGTCGACCATTGTATATAAGTGATATTTGATTAATTAGATTATCAATTTGTGTATTGGTTGTTGTTTCTATTAAAAATTGACTTTCGTCACCATGTTTTACATGTAGTTTAACCATTGTTAACGTAATAGAAAATAATGAATAAATATCTTACTTGCACTTATCTTAACAACCGTAACTAACTGACTGATCATTTTAACCTATCAACAACGTTTTTATATGATGAATAGACTAAGCAACCATTGATTATTGGAGACATCTATCGGTTAGAATTGTTTTATGACTTTTATGAAAATCTAAATGCATAGCGTAGTGTCTATGAAATATTATTATAAGCTAGAAATAAATTTGTTTGCCATTAATTTTGTTAATTGTATAAAATTATTGGCATATTCTTTCATGTTCAAGTATGTGAAGTTTCATCGAAAAAGAAGTCATTCATAGAGATATAAGCCGATCGACTGAGCCTCCGCCGCCGCAACATAAAAATAGGTATTTAATTTTTAAGAGAGGGCCCGCGAGACCACAAAACAAGACATCCGCCGATAAAATTTTGATTTGGGTATCTCAAATGAAAGGTCTAGTCAAATCATATCTAAATCCAAAATATTAGCTCTTTCCGGCTTCCCTGTGAAAAATAGCACAGTATACAAGTAATACACTCTTCGAGACTAAGTCGAAAAATATCATTTTTTTAGGGTGTTCGTAGTATTTTGCACTTTTCTTTGCATTCGGTCATTCGTTCGAGCTTGGGAACGCCTCAACAGATGCAGAAATGTTGTTTCTACAAAATTTGGTACTCATTGTGTTCTACAATACTATTCATCACATGATAATTCCAATATACGAGCAAAACTGATCATTAGCTAAAATCAAAATGTTCTAGTATTTTGACTTTAACTACGCTGGATTATGCTATCCAAAAATGATTTATATATTTTCTGAAAGCCTTTGAAATTCTGTATCGTACAAGGTATTACTTCAAAAGACTAAAACAACAGCGAAAAAAGTTTGTCCATGGCACAGATGTTGAAGGTGATGACCATCTCTATTAATTCTAACTCCTAATCAGGATACTAAATATTTTATGTTCATCGGAATCAGAAATATGACTCCAGATTCGTAATTAGCATAAAAACTGTGTATAAAAATGTTGTTTTATCGATTGCAAAATTGATCAAGTAACAATTATTCTATCGAATACAATTAACTGGAGCATAGCTCCAAATATATATTTATAGATATATTTATAAGTCTGTCTAGTCTCTCATGGGAAACTGTGGAACCGAATCTGATGTCTCATTTAGAATCACTGGACTCTTACCTTCAAAATTACCTATGCAGTTGTTTTAGATTGCTTTTTATTTTTGGGAAATTCGATTCTCCTCCATGTTGGACTAAAATCTGTGCAAAACTCGAAAAATCGTGTCTATGTTTGGAAGTTTGTATCATCGTACTTTATTCAAGGGGGACAAAGCATAGTTCTGCACTTCTCGTACTTCTTCATACTTTTTCTACTTCTTCGTACCTCTCTATACTTCTTCGCACTTCCCTATACTTCTTCATACTTCTCGGTATTTCTCAGTACTTCTTCGTACTTCTCAGCACTTCTTGGTACTTTTATTTGTGAATAAAAATTAAGAAGAAAAAGCGTACTTCTTTCGTACTTAGATGTGTAATAACGGGTGACCCATAATGAATGTCCGCTTTTTGCATCTCATATTTT